AAAAAAAAAAAAAAAAAAAAATCTGGGTCAAACAACTCCTGCGCGCCCGCAAGCTCGCGCGACGAAGCTCTGGTGAAATTTATCGCTTCGTATTAAACGGGGCACGCGCGAAATTCTTCGAGAAAAATTAAAAAAAGGGAAATTTTCCGGCTGTTTCGAATTGGTTGCGACACGCTTCAAAATCCTGCATGTTTGTTAAATAGGTTCAAAAAGAAATTTGTAATACGTGAACATTTTCTCTGCAAAGGTAAATCTTGCGGAAAATTATGGGGAGTCACGGTCGAACGTGCGCCGATTTCGTTGAATTCGGGTCGAGCTCGGTGCCGTGACAACAACACTTTTTTAACCGTAGGATAATCAAAAGAGTTGACCGGTTTCGTGACGTTTTTATTAATAGAGATAAATAGTTTACACTTGTTACCGATTCATCGTGATCCAGCGTTTCTCTTATTTATTTAAATACTCTTCTATGGCTATATGTGTATTTGTTATACTTTTTTGGGATAAATAAATATAAAACTATTATTATTTTGGATGTCTGTGAAGATTAAAAAAAAAAAAAAAAAAAGGTGAAAAATGCGCGATAATAAAATTTAGCGCGTATTTATCTCTGAAAACTTGCAGCCACGTAAGCACAAACGTAAAGAGATGACTCGATGCTGGCACACGCGCGTGTCTCGCGTGAATGCAGCAAATGCTGAAACGGTGTACGGTATACGGGAGAAGCGGTAAGGTAAGATTTCGATAATACTTGATTCGTAATATACTTGACGCACGACCAGGCGAAAACCAGTTTTCTAACTGTACACGCTTTCGCATCGTCTCACCATCTGTCTCATATTTTGTAATTGGACGGTAGAAGTCACTCATCGTACGCACTACTATCGTGCTCGTAAACGTTCGCCAGACATCGATATTACATTTACGATTTTTAAAGAATCTTTGCTCGAGATCGATAAACCATCTGTGTAGGTAATAAAAGTACGAGGCTTTCCTAGAATAACTAGACAGTTTAACCTATCTTCGGATCAGAGCGGAAATAGGGCGTTAACTGTAGCGGAATTCTCCGAGAAAATAATTGTCCGAGAATGCGTTTCACTAGAAATTCTTTCTACGAATATCGCGTGATTTTATTAAGGAGTCCGTCTATTATTACTTGACGCGAAACGAGCTTCGAGCCACTCTTTCGCGCGGTTACGTGAAATTCCTGAAATCGTTGCATTCCTTCGGCACCAGTGTGGAACGCGACGTGTTCCTCTTCGTCACAGGGTGAAAGTAAAATTCGATTAACGACGACCGCTTTCAACTCTGCCATGAGAGCCAAATTCGATTCACACCGCGATAAGATCGAACCATTAGCACTGGAAAATACGTATCCTAAATTACATCGCATCGATATCTACTATGAAGCAATTAGAAGAACGTTCCTATTTAATTTACTAAATGTTGATAATGGAACTTAATCTTCAATACCGTTGTACTACTCGATATAATTTAAATTATTCTGGAAACTTATATTTCGAAAACTTTTAAACTTCTTAATTCTATTCGTTCTTGTTAAATTGCATAAGTGGATTAGAAACGAGTGGCGTCTGATCTTTTAAAAATATGGAAAAAAATTCGTACCACTTAGAAGATGATCTGATAATTAAACAAACGATGGCGCTAAACCCATATGCATATATATTTTTCGCCGATCTATTTTTTTTTCTCATCCCTCGCCGTCATACGTCATCACGATCGTATGTACACATTCCATGCATGCATAATTTATGTATCTCGTAGTTCACGATATTGTCCGCGAGAGCTCGTGTCCCGTCTTCCACCTACGGTACCTATCCTTTCTTTTCCTACTTCCTCTCTCCAGACCGTTCGCAACGCCATCCAGTAATTGTCCCGTGCTCGCCGTGCGTGTAACTCTTCCTTGTTTTCTACGGAACTATTCACTCGAGCTCGAGTGCCAATCGATAAATGGGAAACCCTCGAATTTACAGCTCGCTACGGCTCGATTCTCCAACAATTTTCTATTTTTCCTTCGTATCGTCATCGCATATATTACCAAAGAGAAACAAACAAACGACTCAGGTTAGGAAAGGTTAACGCACCGAATAACGGATGTACGTTCCCATCGTCAGCCATTCGTTTCCGTATTACGTTGAAATACTGCAATATTTCTATAATTTACCGATCGAATTCCGAAATACTTCATCTGGAAGTATATAAAAAGATCGTCGTTTATATTCCTATTGAACGTAGATCGTTTGAACGAAAATACGGCGGTGTTTCGTATATAGTGAAATCAAAAGATACGAATTAAATCCGTTTCACAATTGATGAAATATAAATCGATTTCTTTTAAAGAAAAATTTAGAAAAAGGCAAGAAAGAAATAGAACTCGTATGTGAAAGTGTCTTGATAGGAAAATAAAGACTATTCATGGAAACGAAATCAACGAGGCAACGATTCGGGAAAAAAATTGAAACACACGCTAACTTGATACGCATGCTGCACCCCAACCGATTGTTGCTCTTCGTCCGCAAAACATTCCCATTATTCGCGATAGGCAAATACAAGCAGTAGTGCGCGTGCGTATGTATATATAAGTACTTTTATCGGGCTGGCAACTAGCGAGTAACATATTACCACCAATACAGCAACGTGAGCGATTTTTCCTGTGAAACGTGCGTTAACTCTGCCGACACAGATCGCGTGGCGTTTAACTTATCGATTTCGAGAATCGAGAAATTCCGCTCTCGCGATAGAAAGCTTAATTCAAAGCATAAATGCATTTGAACATAATTGTCCATAGTTATGCATTTTTCTATCTTTTGCGAAATCGTTCGATCATTAAAAATTATTCATTTTGAAGAGATTCGTTTAATTATTGATCAAATGAAGGTTCATAATTTTTAATTTATTCATCACACGTATGATATATACAATTTCAACTATCGAAAAAAGTCGCTCATTAAGTTCATTATATATCGAATAAATCTATTTTTATTGTTACTATAGCTACTTTATTAGAATTTGGAAATATAAATAAGGATGAGAAAGGAGAATCAAAAGATGTACCTTGAATTTTTTATTTCAAACGATACGAAATTCGTTTCGACAATTCGACAATTCACGAACGATATATTCTACTAGTTAGGTTAATTCACGAAGAAATCGTCTCGCATTGCATCTTCCTATTGCATCCGATTTTAGTTATATTTGACACCGATTACCTATCCAATCGAGAAACTGCTACCGCGACAGATTTTTCGTATTCGTTTTCACGAATGGAAACGTAGCTGTTAACGTGTCACATAGCGATGATAATTTTTGCGACTAATAACCAACAAAAATTCATTTTTCGCGGTCACATAAGATAGAGCCTACATAACGCCCAAAGAATAAACGTGATTGCGCAACACTCGAGCAGAGGACGAGCGAAACATGGCTTTAAAAAGCAACGTCACCGCGAAAGGAAAGAAACAAAATGAGGAACAATCACCTTCTGTATCGATAGATCCGCCTGCAGTGATCGACGATTTAAGGATAACCAATTAAGGATCACACTTTGATTTCGGACCTCGGTAAATCAAACATCCTCTGAAATCCTGGATTATTTCGCGGACGAATCCAACTGCCATCTGGTTCTTCTACGTCTCTCGATTCCCTCGACCGGTAAGACAAGCGGGAATGCGAATCACAACAGGCACATACACAAAAACAGAGAGACACGAGTGCACAGAGACACCAAAAATTCGCGAACAGATAAACACAACATTGAATGTATTCACATGGACGACAAATAGGTTTTCTAGTTGCGCGAAAAGAACCGCGGTGTCAGAACTGCCACGATGAAAATTCGCGCTGGCAAAATTGAAACGAGAGGTTAGGAGGACGATAAGAGCACGCGGAATGCCGCGGAACCGTTGGCACGTATGCACGGTTCCGTACTAGCAAGGATTGAACGTGACAGCGGATACATTCGAAGGTTAGATTCCCTCGATTCGTGTATACTGTTTGCCTCTCGCCTGAGTTCCCTCTACGCTATAACCCCCTCTATTCGTTTCCATTACACACAAGCGGCGACCTGAACATTTACCTGGCGAACGCCGGAATCGCACGAGAAAACACGAAATCGGCCGACAATTTTATCTGCCCGAACATTCGAATTTTTGAGACTACATTTCGAAGAGGGTAATTTCGAAAATGAAATAATTTTATTAAGAAACGATTTATAAAGATAGATGTTTTAACCTTTATTTTAATAACGATGTAATAAATATATAGATTTCTATTTTATATTTTACCAAAAAAAAAATCGATCGAAAATTTGCAATATCATTCTGTTCATTTATGATATTATATAATTAAAAATCATTTAAAACATCTTCTTTTTTATTCATAAATCTTTTTTTTTTTGTTTATTAAAATAACTAATAAATATTTAATAAATAATTTAATAAATATACTTACCCATCTTGTTTCCGCTTCTCCTCCGCACTCGCAGACATATCGTTCGAGACTCGATACACTACGAAAAGAAACGATTCGATTATCGATAGATTCATCGATATTCATCCTATCAATTTCTAACTACTACTAAATATTGTATTGTGAGAAAAATGTCTAATTATAAAATTCTTTAAATTTGTAACAACAACAATAATAATAAAATCTTATACAAATAAATAAAATACCTGATATATATACTGAATAACTTCGGATTGACTGGCATTTTCTAACGTGCTACCGTTAACTTGTAAAATTTCGTCAGCCACTTCCAGCGTATCCGCGTTGTCGGCCGGAGAACCTAGAAATTTGAATTTGAAACAATGAAACATAATATTTAGTTCAAATTAATCGTGAAATATTTA